GACCTGGAGGCCGTCGGCTAGCAGGAGGGGTTAAGCCGAAGAAAGCTGCCGTAAAACCTGACGTGGAAATGAAACCGCTGTTTTGGACAAGGATTTTGATATCAGGTTGGTTTTGTGATACTATCAAAGTTCTGTGCCAGAGAGGAGATAGTTGATCTGGCATGGAGACCCCTTTGTCCAATTTAAGTGGATCTATGTAATTCAGCTGGCACTGTTTACTGAATGAATGATTTTGAGCAAGTCTTGTAAAACCTGGACTATGAGCAGAAAAAATTCAAAAAGCCGGACACTTTAAACGTTACTACTTGTTACTTAAAAGAGGTCAAATTAAGTTCTTATGAAAACCACGACGTCGCTTTTTATTTTTTTTTATTTTTTTTTTTTTTTTCAGATGAACAAGACGCTGGTGATGTGAACAACAATAAATCCAAGAGCAGTATTTGGAAATATATAAAAGAGTTGGACTTCAATAGAAAAGAATTCCAAAAGTAGGTGTTTAGCTGCGTCTTTGAATCCAAAATTTTTAATCAGTTTGGATAATTTAGTATTTGATCCACCCATAATCCCCTCATTGACATTTTACTTTATTCTCATCACTTGTCTGCTTGATATTATATTGATACGGTAAGGAAAAATTATGTCTTGGTCACTGGTGAGAGCGAAAGGATTAATCTCTTTTTAAATCACAGGTTATTTGGTCGCAAAGTCAGCAAGATGTCTAAAGGTGATCCACGAAGGATCTCGCTCAAAGATGACAGCCATTTTGCACACTCCAAAGGACAACAAGTAAGTGTTTCCCAACTCGCTTCAATCACTTAAATCAACTCTGCGAATATCTTTGTTTAAATCAGGATTCAGCGTGGGTCTGGGTGAGGCTATCTTTATGAAAAGAGTCCAATTTATTGGGTGAATTCTCTTACTTTGATCGTCTCTTGGTTGTAACGTGCATCCTCTGTTCAGATATCGTGTATAATCTAAATTCCTCCCGTCCAGGCCGCCAAGCTGCTCGATAATGGCCGATCCCAGACAATTGGTATCATCATGAGCAGTCTAAGCTGTCAGTTGGAGGACATAAAGGAAGCAGTCTACAAAATGGACACCTCTGTCATCGACATGGATGGGTAAGACTACTATTCCACAAGTTTCAAATCTTCACGCTCAAAATAAATACTAAACTCGCCTGTTTGTAGCTAAAAGAAATCTCCACTCTTACCCTTCTACCCCTAGCTGCCACACCGGCTTTTTGACTCGCGTCCCATGCCAAGTATTTCAGTTTTTAGACTCAAAATAACTTTTTGAACCGGAGCGTTTCAAAACGTAAACTTTTACATTTGACGGTGTTTTATGTCTAGATACTTTTTTCCTCTAACAGACTGAAAGCGTTGTACGACATTCGCCCCAAGGTTGAAGAAATCGAGCTGATCACAAAATATCAACAAGAGAATCCAAAGAGTAAGCTCTTATTTTTTTTCAAAGATACATTTTCAATATTTTCCACTGTGTAGAAGAAACATTTCGTTTATTCAGTTAAACTGTCAACTGTCTCTGGGAGTGATTGATAAGCTAGCATTTGCATTTGAAAGATGAAATTGCTCTTCTGATGTGCGTTTTTTTGTTTTTGTTTTTGTTTTAGTTCCACTCGACAAACCAGAGGAGTTCTTGTTTCAAATGCATAAGATGGATCACTTTGCAGAACGCCTCGAATGCTGGTTGTACAGGAATAAATTTACAGAGAACTTGACTGCCATTGGTGAGCCAATTTCTCTTCAGATTCGGTCGTTTTAAAGGACATCTCACTATGTACTGACATAACATGCATTTCCCTTTTATTAGACAGAAGATTATCCGCAATTTGTGAGGCCAGCAGTTTACTACGTACAAAGTAAGTTCTGGCGCCCAGAATAAGTTGCATTGTTTTAACGCCGGTGGCAAATGAACGAGTGAGGTTAACTAGTTACAGCAAGGGCGTAGCCAGGGGGGGTTTCCTGGGGTGCCCGTGACCCTCCCTTGGTAGGCCTTCTTTTGAGCAAACAACCTATAATGTTCAGATGGTGAAAACGCCATGACGATATCTTGGCCTGCCCACTATACTCTCACTGCTCATCCCAAAACTGTAACATTAAGTAAAACATACACGGCGGGGAGGTCGACATGACAATCTGGTGAGTAGCCTCTGTGACCCCCCCTTTGAAAAATCCTGGCTACG